TTCAGTGATCACTATCCATTGGCGTGTGCCAAAGTGTTGTGGCTGAAAAAAGACAGTTTCTTATTTGTAGTCCATCATTATGAAAGGAAGCTAACAATCCAGTACTATTCAGTTATATCACATGGTTACCCTCTTATCTTTCTTCGTATAGGTCCCTTAATAATCTGTAACTCTTAAGATTAATCCAAGTTAAAAAATATTATTCTTGGTCACCTAAAAGCAATATCCATAGTCTGTATTAAAGCTTACGGTTTCCACATCCTCTGTCATTCCGGAAAACATGCTTAGCTGGTTAAAATTCTGATATCTTGGATCAAAGAAAATAGCTGTGTTTGAGGGGCACACAAAAGTGCAGTTATTCATTCAGCCTCACTCGAGTAGTGTTGCGAGTTACTTCAAAACTTACCTATTCAGTTTCTGCGGATTCGATGACAAGTTCTTACTGTTTTGCAGTTTTAGGCATAGGATTAAGTAGTAAGGCAGAAAGTACACCGCTTAACTGGATCCTAGTTGATCCTGATTATTCCAGTCTCCAAGAGAGGAGAGAAATCATCTTGAGATGGCCACAGAAGCATCAGTCTGATCAACATTGAGCCTGAGATTCTAGACACCTACCGCGCGACACCTAAGTTTGAGGTCTCTCACCGAAAAAGATGACATGTTTTTGAGGAATCCTTTTGAAGGGGCTGCACTCGAGCGCCTGTCACAGCATTACAGGTAATGGTGAGGTATCAGATGAGTTGTATCAGCTACCTCCTTTCTTGCTCACTTTTATAAGAAAAGTACTTATGGAGGTCTCCCTATTCTTATCTCGTCTGTCATTATAGATTCTTTAGTTGACTTAGATACAGAAGATGACAGCTTGTTAGATTTATACACTGATGAGATGCAGAGTCTTCTGGAGAGCTTGAGTAGCTATTTGAGTAGGTTTGCGATGCGTTCTGTTTGAAGACTTCAATATTGAAGTTGGTGCTGATGATGTTGTCTAGGAAGACAATGAAAGTTTTATGACTAAATCACCCAGCTCAGAGAACATAAAATAACCAAGATTATATCCATGAAGAATTTGTACAATGTGGGGAGAATCATTTCATTCTAAATTTATTTACAATAAAACAACCAAAACCATCCACCTGAGCTACAAATATTCTCCACGTACGTTTCTGGCTGATATTGGTAACTGTAGGTCGGTCACCCTGATAAGTAGTGACTAGTAGACAGATTGAAGTGATCTAAGCAATGGGTGGCCATTTCTCCCATTCATGAATGAGCCCACTCTCGGTGTACCCACATTGATCCAGCTAAAATAGCGGCATAGTCCCAAATAAACAGTTGAGAGAACTTGTGTTTAGACCATCTGGACATGACTAGTCAACACCGTTTATTGGTGTCGGTAGCCTACAAGTATTCACTTCAGTCGATAATGCGCACTTTACTACTTTTACGCTTGCTATCCTGACACGCCTTATCTCACCAAACATATCATATATTGCAGCTTCTTAAAATTTTGGCTTCAGGACGATATCATTATCGGATTTCGTTGTTGGGTCTCATTTAATTTTTCGCAGACTCATTCGTTTATTGTCCATGTTTTGAATGACTTGTAGTTGAAAGGTGAATTCAAAGGCAAGCATAGTTAGTGACCGGTCACTACAGAGTAACCAATTTCAAGTTTTCAAGTACTGAGTGCTGACCAAATCCCACTCACTATCTCTATGGCTGAAGGCAATTGGCACAAAGCCCTCTATCTAATCCAGTCCTACAGGAGATCAATCGCAGCTTGAAAAGCTCACTGGGTAACTTTTGTGACTACAACACTCAGTGGCAAGTGTTCAAATTTCACGAGGGACGAGTATCAACAAGCTTAAAACCTAGATAAAGCAGGACTTCCTACCGAATGCCTCCAACCAACAAATACAACTTCATGCCCTCAAGGAGTTTTGCTGGCATTTTTAGATCAATTTACATCTTCACCTGATTCTCAAAAGCAAATGTTTTACCAGTCTCCAAAAACACTAATTAGGATGAAGTCAGGCTAAAGTGCATTAGATTACTCTTAATCACAGGGGGGGGGAGGAACGGGCCCTAAACCTAATACATATAAGAGGATCCTGTCAGCAAAGCAGTACTATTATCCGCTCTAACACCATTAGGATTTACAATACACGTATACACCTGGCAGTTCAGGTGTGTTATTATGATTATTATTTATGGTAAACTGTCGAATTTTTCTTGAGACCTCATTGCATGAAACATATTACGTACTATTTCATGTTTAACATGTCTCTAGCGAGCACAGTTGAAAATAGAAAATAGCAGGTCTGTTTGGAAGCAGATGATACAAACAGGTAACAAACACACTTTCTCCCTCCCGCCAGAAAATTGATCTAGTTAGTTTATGTAGTAAGCAGCTGTTGTGCCGACTTCAGACCATACCAGTCGACAATAGGCACTCATAATGCCTAAGTCAAAGTGGCTGGCTATTCAATATATTAAGACGAAAGAAGGAATAAGAGTTAGATTTACAGGAAGCTGTAGCCGACCTGCTTTCCATAATTTCTGGCAGTTGTCAACAAAACGAATATGTAACCTTTAGGAACTCAATGTTTCTTCCTCCTCTAAGTTTTGAACATAGCGCAGAAGTAAGGTGTCTTGCCAACCAGTTATTCAGACCATATGATCGAACTCCTGCAGAACTGGATTATTTACAAAAATCGATCAGCTGATGGGAGCACGATGTACCTCATAGTTCCTTGACCTATCAATTAATTTTGACATGAGATTCCTAAGCTAAGTGACGAGATAATGCAATTTACTGTTTCAGTGTTAGAAGGTGTAAATGAAGTGAACTTTTATCAATCCGTATGAGTCACAGAAGGCTACTCCATTCCATATAAAAGTATAACAGCTAATCATGTCAGCCATCGGTGTCTAACAGAGTGGAATACTCTAGTATATCCTATGGTAACCTCAACACCAACAAACCAGGCTTGATAACTTTCGTTAGGGTTTCGTCTATTTATCAAATATTAAGCCTAAGCTGAAGAGTTTTATTTCGTGCTTCTTTTCATTCTAAGCTGTTCAGCAGCCGCAATTTCGAATTTGCAATTTTCCTGATCACACCACATTATTCCAACTCACTCACTATATCAATGGAATGGCAATTTACCACAGGGGATGTAGTGAAACACAAAACCCTTCGGTTTGCATGTATGCCTGTAATATTACACCTAAAAAACTAAGTTTATGCAAAACTATCTTTCTATCTCGCGATTTTCATTAGATACTATTGAAAAAGTATCAGTTGCAAACGAACTGTTAACATATCAAGGTTGTATCATCACAAAATTTTCCTTGGATCATCACCACTGTCTAGCTGGGAAGTCAGTTTGTCTTAAAATCTGAGTATGAATACATTTTATCACAGTCATGTGTTGCTAAAACCACCTTAGTTTGAGATTAATCTTGCTAAGGAATATTTCAAAATAAGTGCAGGTTATGGATCCTCATAAATTAATGGAATTGATGGATGCAACATACTTAAGCCCCTATGACTAAGCTTTTTCGTCTTGTGCTAGAAAATTCAACCGTTTTCTGAATACATACAAGCATCAGTGTGGTTTCATCACGGATATCCAGACCCAGTGTAGTCACTGTTGAATGTGAAGATCGAGGTTTCTGTAGGCTGAAAAGAGCTCCTCGCAAGCAGTTCCAATCATATACTCAGCTACTCACAGTTGATGTACTCAGATACGGGTATTTCAACATACTAGCCTTCTGTATCATTCGTGGAGCTGTGGCTGTGTTTTAGGGAGACAACTAACAACCAATGAGTAACGGGTTCGGACCCTGCTCCACCTACCGAGGTCTGGGGAGCACAATAGGTGTGGCGCGGCTCACTGCCTACTGTACGAATGCGCACAAGGTTGCTGAGTGTTTTTTTGTATCATCCACCTCCTTCCCGAATAATACTAGGTAGATAAGAGTATCTACAATCAATTGGACTGTGATAAAAAAAAAAAGAAAGGACAATGAACAAAAAAACATTAAAACTCGTCTTTTTTGTTTAAAAAAGTCAATAAGTAAACACAAAAATCATCAAATGGTTATAAATATTAGGGTTGAAACTAGTGAATGACTCTCAAAATTCGTATATTTCACATAGAAAAATTAAGTGTAAGTATTTATAAAGGAAAAAAAGAAGAAAAGTAGGACTGATACCGTCTCCAATTTTATGTAACAAAACAAACTAACAATTACTATACAATTTGGGTGAGTGTTTACAACTCAAGCAATAGGATGAGTGCAAACTTCGGTAGGCGTGTACACTCATACAAATGCACACCGACAACTAGTTAGTAAGTAATAGTAATAATGGCAAATTGGCAGTTAACAGTTTAAAACATCACAGACAAACTTGAAGCGCGACAGTACATATACTACTGGTCAAAATCGCGATGAATCAAAGACGATTGTGCCTAGAGCAAAGTAAACAAATATTCATGAAATAGAAAAGTTTTCATCATAGGAAAATCGACCTTCAAATATGCGATATATGTGTCACGAGCAGTGAGCTAGACAGGATTCTTATCGGTCTTCCTGTAGTCTTAGTCGGAATGTATATATATATATATATATATATATATATATATATATATATATATATATATATATATATATATATATAGTTTCGATTTCAATACGAATTGCTCCCTTCAATTTGGAGAAAACTTTTCTTTTATATAATAATTGAGTAAAAAGGTAAGTGGTTATTTAGGATTTGGAGACTAGAGTAGAACAAAACTCGAACTTACTGTAACTGTACACCTAAGTAGTATGGTTCGTATTGTTCAATGATCAACAAGAAGGGAAAATTCAAAACTGTCACACTTGGTGTTGTTAATAACAGATAGTGCACAAAACAAGAAAGGAATATATGTATATGCATATCACGAAAATCGGTTCTGGTTCTCTAAAGAGGTTGGTAATACGATATTCACAGCATATATAGTGTGTGTATTGGTTTCGTAGCCCAGCTTGGTCCCTGAGATAAAATCACGTCAAATAGACCCGTTTTCACTACTGAACTTTGAGAGTGGGGGTTCTCATCCTGTCGATCATATTAAAAGTGTCCTAGGCAATGGGGCTGAAGTAGGACGTATTGGTTGGTGATGGTGATCATTATTACCACTGTGAACATTTATCTGACAAATATCATTGTGAACACGTCGTTGACAGTGGAGATGTTGGCGTTCTGATGCTCTGCCACGCCGGAAAGCACTAGCTGAAAACTCTTCACAATCATGATTATTCCTCTGCTCCAAATAGCTCGCGTCATTGGCACCACTTCTTCTGTTCAGTGTGTTAATTAGCTGTTCTGTATAGTCACTACTGAAGCATAATGCAGAATTGATACATGAACGTGACCTTGAACAGGCGGTGTTACTTGCGATGTTATCAACCCACTCACCTTGTGCTAATTTTACCAACTGTTTAGGCATACCACTGGAAATTAAGTGTTCTTGACTAATATACTGAATATACGTTATCAATTGCGATGGCAAACCAATAGCTGTCGTTTTGGCACAGAAATTTATCCCTCCAATTTGTTTACGTACAGCATTTCTGGCTAGAATTTTTAAACTCAACGGCTGACCAATAAAATTTTGACATAATTCATGCAGTGCTGACAAGCGAATATTGAATTCATCACGTCTTTCACCATAGCGTTTTGAATAAACTTTACGTAAATGTAGATTCTCCAGAGACTCACGAAAATCTTCAACCGATGGGAGGGTACACTTCAGAGCAAGTAAGTTAATCAATAACAGAGCGGATTGTTTAATAATTGACGGTAATACAGTATTGCTATATGAATCAATCTTAGGATGACATACAATGCATAATAGTATGCCGAACCAATTACAACATGGATACAAATAATCCATACATTCAAACTGTGAAAAACCATTTTCAATTAAACGCTTGACAGTAATCATTTCAACAAATGAGTCATCATTCTCAGGTATATCTGGTATGATAGCATGTTCATTAGTATATCGACACAGATATTGATCAAAGCTGATTGCAAGTGAATTGAATACAATAACTGAATCAATGCGATGCACATCTACACCCTTAGACAGTATTGTTGGTAAGTGTGAAAAATAGAAAGCCAATGGACTTGGACCATTCAATCCATTATAACTTGTTGTATGTTCACCAACGAATTCATAGACACTAGCAAAAAAATAATCCAATGCAGATTGATATGTATATCGACCACGTGTCCAAAATCTTCGGTATGGTGCTGTATTTGGCCGGGAACTAGGCGCACAAATGTAAGTCCAACGACGACAACTCTGTGGACGATTGACATCTAGACCGAAACGTGTCAGTAAGGGTAGCACGTGCCATTGTAAACAATCCACAGCCCAGATAACTGGTGAACACTCTTGATAAAAGTTAATAAACGGATCTGTTCCAGTAGCTCTATGATCTACTAGGCAAGGATAGGCTGTACTCAAGTGACGTCGTTTCACTGTCACAGTTAAATTGGTCAGTGGTTGTTTCAGTCGTCGTAAAGCACGTTCAATTGCTGGTAGATTGCCTTTTGAATTACACGAGCCAGTTTCCCGTCAGCTTCTTCAAGCAAAGCTGCACGGGAATCAGCACAGAAACAGGTTATCCATATTGGACTAAATCGACTTCTTTTATTACTCATAAGTTGCTGGCCAAGTATATGCGCGTACTATGTGGATATAGCCAGAACAATTACACGAAAATTGTTAGAGAATCTAACCACTAAACCAGTTCAATAATTAAAATATTAGAACTCCATAGCTATTCATGTTTTTGTGTTTGAATATAAAAGAGGTATGCATCATATTATATGTCCATAATAATTACAAGGTCACCGTTAGATCTAACCAATCCAAAATCACATAGAGGGAAGCATAAAAACTAGAGACCACTACAGCCCACAATAAATCAATGCGTCTGTCTATCCTGTATCCATACTACAACTGAATTGGAGAAGGCCGTGTGTTGTAAGTAGTGTGTCTGCACTACATAAAATACCCCTTTGAGATGAAAGTTATATATAGAAGTTAAATCGACAAGGAGTACAGCTACAGCATAGTAGAGATCAATAGGATGAAAGAGGAGCAGTGGTTGAGAAAGTGAATGGAAAACTGGGATGATGCACAAATTATTATTATTATTATTATTTGGGCAGTAGTAGATCAGGTAGTCATCATTATTATTCATGTGGAACATGTCAACTAATCTTCGAAGCTAATGGAAGAGTCCTTTAAATCCATACTCACTTCTAGCGAGTTTAGCGACTCAGTAAACATTCGGTTTGCTGAAATATCCACTACAATGAGACCTGACTTATACAATACAAACAGCGTCAGAAATGATGAAAGGTTTGAACAACTGACTAACAGGTGGGTGAGATTTTGGGATTAACGCAACCAAGGAGGTATATATTACCGTGGAGGATGGAGGGGTATTGGTGCAATTTGGTTGGGTACACGTCAAAACAAGCGATTTTGCTTCATTATTATTTCCCAAAAGTAGATTTATTCACCTCCATTATTATTACGACAAATCAAACAATCGTTTTTTCAAATGACTAGGCATAATAATAATAACAAGGAGTGGCTGTCGTAACTCGGTGGTCTAGTGGATAACGTCCTGGCGTTGACCCTGGGTCCGAGTTTTAGTGGGAACAACATTACTCACTAGGATGCAGATTATTATTATTATATTATTATTAGTCCCTTGGGTTCCTAGTGGAACATAGGGCTTCAGTAGCACGTCTCCAGTACACTCTGTTCTCTGAGATCTTTTGAAGCTGATCCCACGACAGCCCACAAGCTCTCATTTCCTCCTCGCACGACCTCCTCCATGTCACCCTTGGACGTCCAACTCGTCGCTTCCCATGGGGATTCCACTCGAGTGCCTGGCCTGACGCGTGATGTCCTCGGTCGGCCTTCTCAGTGCATGCCCAATCCATCTCCACTTCCTCCTGCATATTTGTTGCATGATAGGTTCTTGGTTGGTTCGTTCACAGAGTTCCTTGTTGCTTATTCTTTCTGGCCATCTGATCTTCAGTAGCAAGCGTAAGCAGTTGTTGATGAATGTCTGTAGTTTATTGGAAATCCTTTTCGTAACGCGCCAAGTCTCTGAACCATACAGAAGCACTGACTTGACATTGGTGTTGAGAATCCGTATCTTGTTCCGCATGCTGAGTGTAGATCTCCACACTGGTTTCAGGCTAATGAACACCTGTCTTGCTTTTCCGATTATGACTTTGACATCCTCGTCCGTCCCGTCTGTAGTTGAAACAGTGCTTCCTAGATAGATGAAGGAGGTTACTTCCTTTAAGTTTCTCTCGTTGACGGTGATTGGAGTTTGTTGTTGTTGGTGGTGGTGAGGTATCTTCATCACCTCTGTCTTCTGTATATTCACTTGAAGTCCCGTCTTCGCTGCCTCCTCTATCAACTTGTTAGTTTTTGCCTGCAGATCTTCAAGTTTATGTGACATTAGGCACAAGTCATCGGCGAAATCCAAGTCTTCTAGGTTCTTTTCCGTAGTCCAGTGTATCCCCCTCTTCTCGCTCCCCACAGTTGTCAGCTGCATGATCCAGTCGACCACAATAAGGAATATCATGGGGGATAGTAGGCAACCTTGTTTCACTCCTGTCCCCTGTCTTCACTTCAAAAGCATCACTGAGCTTTCCATTGTGAATTACTTGGCATGTGGCATCTTCATATAGTTGTTGAATGAGGCGGATAAAGGTTTGCGGTACTCCGTAGTATTGAAGCAGCTTCCAAATTACTTCTCGGTCGACGCTGTCAAAGGCCTTCTCAAAGTGGATGAAGTTGAGGTGTAGAGTTGACTGCCATTCTATACTCTGTTCTATGATAATGCGAAGCGTTGCAATTTGGTCTGCACATGATTTGTACTTCCTGAAGCCTACCTGTTCCGGTCGTAGTTTTGAATCCAGCGCATCTTTAAGCCTCTCCAGGATGATGCGGTTTAATATTTTACTTGGGGTGGACAGGAGAGTGATTCCTCGCCAGTTCTTGCAAACACTGAGGTCTCCATTCTTCGGCAGTTTGACAAGGTAACCCTTCTTCCAATCGTCAGGTACCTTCTCTTCCTTCCACACCTTCTGCAATAGTGGATGCAGATACATTCAGCTAATTAGTCCCTAATAGGACGAAACGTGCGCCCTGATAATAATAATAATAATAATAATAATAATAATAATAATAATGATAATAATAATAATAATGATAATAATAATAATAATAATAATAATAATAATAATTTCATTTTGAAAGCTATTTCGGGAATACTGTACAGAATTTCCATGCATAATAAAATGAAATGAGTATAAATTACATATAAAAGATAAAAATATTTACTTTTTCTTGAAAACCCAGAGTTAACTTAGGTGAATAATCACATTAGCAATTGGATTCGTAATACACAAAGAACAGCAAGCTGTACAATCTTTCATTAGTTTGCATTATAAAACAAAGTTGATTAGTACTGATTAATGATTGAAGGTGAAATGAAAACTTGGACTGGGGCGGGCTTCGAGCCAGTGACCACCAGGTTTCTAGCCTGGTGCTGTTTCAGTCGAGCTACGAGGCCAGACTGCTGACTAGATTTTTATTTCACTTTAATCACCAAGGGTTTTGACTGACAATGGTGTGTATTCGTGATGCGTTACTACCTCTTGATCGTATTCACACTGGCTTCCCAGTCAGGACTTCTCACTCCAATCCAAATCTACTTGAATTAGAGAGGGGGGGACTATCATATTGATTATCATTTTGACTATCTGAGTTAGCCATGATTTGGCACAACCCTTGGTCATTAAAGTGAAATCAAGATCTGGTCAGTCAGCAATTGAGTCTGATGGCTCAGTTAGTAGAGCGCCGGGCCGGAAACTCGGAGGTCGCTAGTTCGAATCCCGCCACACCCCACATTTTCATTTCATCTTCAGTCATCGCCCAGTACCAGTACTGACCTGACAACCCGCGACTATCTCAGACAGTCAAAATGATAATCAAAAGTTGATTAGTTAGTGTATTTCTGACACTTTCTTCCACACACAGGATACGAGCGGAATACGGTATTGTAGAGATTCCATATTTAGTAGAACGTGCATAAAGTCCTACATATTTGCTCCAGATCTTTCCTGATGACAAACACACAGGGAGCCTTGAGTGGTCATCTGAAAAAATTACTCCTGCCAGTTGTTTACATAAGTTGAGATGTTTATCCATAACAGTTTCAATGAGAAGGTTTAAAGGTTCTGCTGAAAGTTCTCAAAGTTTTACGCAATACAGCATAGTCTTTTTACAGCAACTCGGGAAAGAACAAAGGGGTACAAGAGAGGAGAGTAGGCAAGATAAAGGAGCTTATAAAATACGAGAGGAGAGGTTGAGTTACATCAGTTACTGTCAGCTTCCTCATATAGTAAATTAGACGGAAATTTCTTTTGAGAATTAGTAAGATATGGGAGGACCATAAAAGATTTGAAGAAAACTCACGCCGAGATAAATCAAACTTGTAACATTCTTCGATACACACTCATCAACAGAACGTGAATCACGGGACTTAGGCAGTCTACACAGGTTATGTTTGATCCTAAAACTAAAATTTATAAACTGACCTTTTGAGGGATTAAAGACAAGACTATTCATAATAAACCATTGTCCAATAGTAGATGGGAAATCACTTAGTTGGGAACAATCTGATTTAGAGGAGACAAAATTGATATTAGCTGAAGATAGCAAGTCGTACAGAAAGAAAGAGAAAAGGCCGCGGGGAAAAAAATGGGACCCTGAGGAACACCAGCCTTAGTAAGTAATGCAATGGAATGCTTCCCTCTGTGAACAGTATATTGTTTCCTTTCACGTAGTTTTAGTCATCTATTGCTGATTGGGTTGGTAGTTAATCAGTTCCTCGGTGCTCATCAGTCTTCTGTCTGAACCCTAATCATGGGTATCTTTTACATGGAACTAGTAGTCCTTCCTATTTGAAGATCATACTACGTCAGCATAATCTCAGGTCATAACAACTAAATAACTGGTTAATAGAAAACGGTCATCACTACCTGTGGACTAGATGTTACTTTCTCTCTGGAGGCCGATACTGATATGCGGGCATTTATCAACAGAAATGGAGTGGTGCAGCTGTCGAAAGTATCTAACAAACTATTGTCAGATTTCCACTGCGTTTTACTTACTGACAGTGTGTTAATCGACAGGTTTGAATGTCCTGGCTTTATGTTGTTAGTGGAGGTGGAGTGAGGGAGGCGGAGTGTTGACTGTTTCAAAATTTATAACGTAGGGTAAATTGGATTTTTAGTCTTATTAAGCTCACGAACAGACTTGAGATTTTTCCTGTATCAGATTCAAAGTAAGAAATAATCTAAAACAGTAACAAATTGCGAAATTTACCGCTACTTATAAGGATGTATCTCTTACTCTCATATGGCTACAAGATAAGGAATATTTAAGACGAAAGTAGCCGAGGCATTTCAAACGTTTTATGCATCCCTTTTGCATGGAAGCGTAACCAGTTTCATATTGTCTAGTACTGAGTACTGAAAGAATTCTATTGATCATTTGCAAAGTGACTGCCAAGCTAGACAGTTCACTATCCCAACCAATAGCTGTTACCATTGACGTGGTG